TCTAGCCCAGAAATGGTGAATCTTTTGGGCTCGGCGTGTCAAAAATTTGGAAAATGCCTAACTTGACTCTGCTGGCATGTCACCCCTCCCCCCCGAACAAAAGAGAAACAATTCTTTCCATTTTCATTTATTTAAAAAAATACAGTCCAATCATGTGTGGTGCTATGTATTATATAAAGAAACGTCAAATAATTACAAAAATGAAATAAAGTAAAACAAACTCAGTTTCTTTGGTAACTCAAAGAAGAGAAGGAGAAGGAGAATAGTTGTTGTCGGGTGTTGGTGAATGCTGGCGTGTCACCCAAAATGTTGTGGCGTGTTACCTTTGACATGCATGTCATAGGTCCACCATCACTGGTCTAGCCCCATGCTTCCAAGAACATCATGCAGAGGCCATGAGAATAATGCCTTTATCCATTATTAATTCCCCAACTCTGCCAGCAATCAGTATTCAGAGACATATTAATTCTTGTATATGTAGATATCATTCTGCTGCCCACCGACATATGTCATATTTAACTGAAATAATTTGGTGAATGTGTGCTGTCAGTATTTTGTGAGCCAACATAAACTTAAAGAGAAACATTACTGACTGATAGGTCCTCATAGAAGAGCACAGAATCCATACTCCTTTTCCACACTAGAAGGAAAGATTATGTTTCTGAATGTAGGTCATCTGCTTCAAACTTTTCCTACAGCTTACAATATGCAAAAGCAGCTTGTGATAAAAGACAATGATGAGCAAGATTAAAGTAGGCAGTATTTTATGTGAAAGATATAATAGAAAACTAAGTATTGTTCATTCATATCTGATGAGAAACTGATGTATCTACATGGTTCTCAGACACAGAGTGCTAATTAGAAAGTGATGTCATCTAGAAATAATGGTTTTCCTATTATTACAAGATGCTGATATATTCTGTGTGTGTTTGTGTGTGTGTGTGTGTATGTGTATGTATGTGCAAGAAAGTGAATCCACAGAGAATTTCAGTATGTTTTGAAGATTTAGAGAGTGAAACCATGTACTGTAATATCAT